TGAATTTTGCAAGCTCTCGCAAACTCTTATGAAGCTATATCAACCCTAAACCCTAAACCCTAAACCGTGATCAGAATCACCTTATAAACCGAATGCTGAAGCCCCGGAACCCAAAGAGCTTCACACACCCAGCATCTCGAACGAAGGCGGCCACTTTCGAATCTTCGAGCTCTGGTGGTTCTGAACCGGAGGAAGAGAAGGAGGAGGGGACTTAGTACGGAGGATTTAAGGTTTAGGTAGGGTTTAAGGTTTAGGGTTTAGGGTTAAGGGTTTAGGGTGTAGACCGGGCTGGTTAGGGAGGGTTTAGGTGATGATGAGAAGGAGGAGGGGGCTTAGTAAGGGTTCTAGAGGAAGGGACTTAATACGTAGGCGATAACGGAGGTTCGCGGTACCTTTTTTTAATTTAGGGTTTAGGGGTTCGGGTTTCTGTTTAAATTGGTTTGGGGTTTGGGGTTGAGGTCCTAAACCCTAAACCCTAAACCCTAAACCCTAAACCCTAAACCCTAAACCCTAAACCCTAAACCCTTTGGGCTTTCCCATTTGTGCTTATGCTTGTCAAGATCTTTCCCAAGTCCCCTCATCCTCCAAGAGAGAAGCAGGAACATGCGGCCTTCAGGCAGTCCCGCCACTGTTTAGGGTTTAGGGTTTAGGGTTCAGGGTTTGGGGTTTAGGGTTTAGGGTTTAGGGTTTAGGGTCCTGCTTAGAGGCTTCTCTAAGATTGAGGGTTTAAGGTTTACGGTTTGAGGTGTTTGGGGGTTTTGGCTAGTTTTATGACTTTTTCTCAGGGTCTCGAAAAGGGACAAGGGTTTAGGAATAACTGGACACAGTATACTAAGTTCTATTACTCCTTTACAATGATACTGCTATATTCACCAAAACCCTATCACTTAGTTTCAGCCTTCAAACTAAGCCCAAACCTTAAAACCCTCAAAGCGTCAAGGGTTTGAGGTTCAGGGTCGAGCCTCCTCAACCCTAAACCCTAAACCCTAAACCATTTAAATGCCCCAGAGGGACACTTTGCAGAGACACACCCTAGACCCTAGATCCCCGGTTTAGGGCTGCAGGGTTTAGGGTTTTAGGGTTCTAACTAAGGAGCACGCATTTATTCATTCATAGCACTGCGGTCTGACTCAGCCTCTCCAGAGCCTCTTAGTTCAGTCTTTTTCACGGTCGCAAAGCATACGGCCTGTTATAAAGGGTTTAGGGTGTAGCACGGTCACAAAGCATACGGCCTGTTATAGGGTTTGTCGCAAAGCATCGGGTTTAGGGTGTAGGGTTTAGGGTTTAGGGTTTAGGCCTGTTATAAGAGAAGCTGCTGGTCCAGCTCACTGCAATGAGCCCGAGGCAAGAGAGTGTCAAAGAGGCTTAGGGCTCCTTGTAGGGTTCCTGTAAGGTCTCTATAAGGGTTTTACTGTAATTACAAGAGAAATCTTGGGTTTCCTATTGTGGGTTAAGGGTGTAAGGGTTTAGGGTTTAGGGTTTAGGGTTTTGGGTTTTGGGTTAAGGGTGTAGAGTTTAAGGGTTTAGGTTTCAGGTCTCTTTATGTTCTTCTGTTTGGGTCGATGACAACGCTTGTTCAGGGCCCTAGGGTAAAGATGGCAAAGACTTGAACCTTGGACCCTAAATATAGGGGTCTAAATAATTACAAATTCTATATTTTGGAGTTTCTTATTATGGCTATATATATATATATATATATATATATTAAAAACTTCAAAACCCTATTCTAATTATCCAGGCCCAAAACCCAGGAACTGCCAGGGTTCATTGAAGTACTTGTGCAGTGTCGATATGTGCTTAGCTCGACGAGGTCCCGCGCAAATGTGGAAGTCGGGGATGGAGTTTGGGGTGTATGGGCTTGGGGTTCGGGTTTCGGGGCGATTTTGGGGCGTTCGGACTTGGTTCCCTAGACCCATAAACCCTAAACCCTAAACCCTAAACCCTAAACCTGGAACCCCTAAACCCAGCCTAAACCCCTAAACCCCTAAACCCAAACACCCCTAAACCCAGCCTAAACCGCTAAACCCAAAGAGTTCGGGCCGACGGCTCCGGGATCCCTCTTCGCTTTACTTTAGGGTGGGGGCCTTCATAATTACCTATACTATCTTTGGGGTTCCTTATTATAAGTATAAGTATACTATACCCCAAAACTCTAATTAGTCAGGCCTCTACATTAGGCTTGAGGGCTCTTAAATCGCCCGCCCGTAGACTTACGAACCGCCTCCGGCCCTAGGAAGTCCAACGCCTTAGTTAGCCAATAGGAGAACTTTCAACTTTTTGGCCTTATATATTTGGTCTATCCTAAAAAGTTTGAACTTTTTTGGGCCTGGTTGTTGAAGAAGAGAATGCCACTGCCTAGAATGCATGATCGTCCGGCTCAGACGGGCTCAAAGGGTTTCATTCGGATACCATTCGGGTACTGTTAGGGTTTAGGGGTTTAGGGAGTAGGGCTGTAGGGCTTGAGGGTTTAGGGTTTAGGGGTTTTAGGGTTTACGATTTTATTGAGTTCTTGGGTATGTCAAGCACGCAGCAGCCTATGAAAGCTTTGATTCAATGCTGCTTTCTTTGCGGGGATCTTGCCACAGGAAAAAGAAGGCGGATCGGGAAGCCGCTGCTCCCAGAATCAAGGAAGATGTCAGTACCTAAACCCTGTAGCAAGCTACACTGTGAAGGGCTTATGTAAGGAAATCATGACAAGGAGCCCTAAAAGGTAGCTTATCTGGGGCTAACGTAATGTCTACCAGATACAAAGAAGGTCACCACAAAGCACCACTACTACTACTACTACTACTACTACTACTACTACTACTACTGCGATTCGGTGGTGGCCGCGTAGCAACCGTGGTCGTAGTTGTGCTCGTAGCCGTGGCGGCAGCGGCAGGACGAGCAGCAGTTGCTGTTGCTGTAGCTGCAGCTGCAGCTGTAGCAGGAGGAGAAGGAGCTGGAGCAGCAGCACTAGCAGTGGCGGTGGGCGGGAAGGAAAGAAGAAAGGAAGGAATGGATGGGACTGCGGGAGTCAGGTGCAGGAGGAGTCGTCGTCACCGCATGTCATCCGTCGTCATTGCCGACGTATCCGCAGTCGTACTCGTGGTCGAAGCAGCATTCGTGTTGCAGCTGGTGGAGATGTAGTGGTCATTTTGGGAGTTGTCGGGTACCCGCAATGCAACTCTGAGTCGCTACTGTACTGTTTGGGGAGATCCCAGGCTTTCAAAGCATCTATTAGGGTTACTTTGATGGGGTTTCAGAAGTGGGTCCAGAAGTGGAATCATGAAGCTGGGATTGTTCCATGCCCATCGATCATCAAGATGTTCTAGCGTTGGAGCCGCAGGCTTGTTTTTGCACCAGCTTGGTGGCGGTGGTCTTCCGTTTCCCTCTTACCTTGCAGTTCAATACCTGCTGCAGCGTCGCAGAAAAGGACCACTCCTGCAGGTCTTCCGGTTCATGATTTTTTCTGTCCTACCGCACACCCATGATTGATCTAATATAGAAGCCTAAGTAATTGCCAATACTATTTCGAGGGTTCCTTATTATCAGTACAGTATAATATACCCCAAAAATCTCATTCAAAACTATTAAAGCCCCTACATTAAACCCTTGTAGTCAGTTTGGAGCCCTTAGCCCGAGCGCTGTGTGGCTTCCGTCCACGGTAGCTTTTTCATCACACTGGCAGTCGGAAGCAGGTTAGACTTGTTCAGGGTATAGGGTATAGGGTTGAGGGTTTAGGGTACTGTATAGGGTATAGAGTTTAGAGTCTAGGGTTTCGGTGTAGGGTTTAGGGTATAGGGTTTAGAGTCTAGGGTTTCCGTGTAGGGTTTCGGGTGTAGGGTTTAGGCTATAGGGTTCAGGGTTTGGTGGGGAATTGGTTCCCGGACCCTCAACCCCGAAGTGCTCATCCCTGGCCGCCCCTGGCCCCGAACGACCGCCCAAAAGCCGAACCCTAAACCTTCGGCATCCTCGACCCTCGTCATGGGCTGAAAGATTGTCCAAAGGGGTCCAGGGCTTACTCAAAATTCCAACCTCAAATCAAAAGTACCTTTTCGGTGCCAAGTCCGGAAACCTAAACCCTGAAGATAGCCCTGCAGAAAATCTTTAGCAGCCTCAAGGAGCCCGAAACCCCAAATTCTTAACCGAAAGGCACCCTGTTGTGATGTATGGAAGCCTACTAGGGTTTTAGGTCTCAAGGACGGTAGTCCAAATGCTTTTTTTATTCCTGAAAGCCCCGGTTGGGCAACTTCTTAAGTTCAGAAAAAGCACGGGTGCCCAATACAGACATTTGAAACGTCGGATGCTTTTGCGATGATCCTGAAACACGGCAACTACACGCCCTAAGACCATAATCCCTAACCCCTTAACCCCACACCTGTCCTAAACCCTAAACCCTAAACCCTGAACCCTAAATAGAAATCCTAGGGTGGCCCTGATGCAGGCTGTCTGGCTCGAGGATCCAAGAGCTAACATAGGGGCCAGAATAAGTACCACTATTAGGGTTTAGGGTTAAGGGTTTAGGGTTTAGGGTTGTTCCTTAGGAATTCGTCTTGAAGGCTTAGGGTATTGGATAAATACCGATACTGTTCCTTCATCTAATTCTACTCGAATAAAACCCGTTTAACTGGAATTGCTAAGGCCCTATAGTAGGAGCAAGCGCGCTGAGAATTGAATCCAGAGGCTCGCCTCTTGACGCACGTAGGTTTGCTACAGTGTATTCCCGGTGGAGATATGTATCTGACACCTACAAACCTGTGGGTTTAATGCATTTAAGGTCGAGTATTGGCCATGCATGAGGCAGGTGCGTTGTGCTAAAGATTCAAACGAAACAGCACAGGGGGATTTCGGAATCATGGTCCAGCGGGCTTGTCACAGCAAATGACTAGAACAAGGTGTCCCCGAGAGAAGCCTAGTAAACCCTAAACCCTAAACCCTAAACCCTAAACCTTTCTTGAGCAACCCTCCAAAGTCCAAGCTCTCTCAGCTTGCCTGCATGGCGGCTCCGGGTGCAACTGATGGCAGGTGATTTAGCTGCATGAGGGTTTGGGGTTTAGGGGCAAAAGTTTGCGACAGATGCTGGCGGATCCGGAATATGAGCGGCCGAGCAGAATTATTGATCATCAGCCTAAGCCCTAAACCCAGTTGCGTGTACTTCCAGACCCGGCCACCAGATCCACGCAGTTCAGGAGCCTGAGAGGTCTAAGACCACCGTAAGAACTATTAAAGTTAGGGTTTAGGGTTTAGGGTTTAGGGTTTCAGTAAGGACTATCAAAGCTTTTGAAGACCTGGAGCCCCAAGCCAGAAACAATATCTGCCATGTAGTCAGTTCGCTGATGCTCACGAACCGCGTTACGGAAGCGTTCCTCAAGATCCATCCGAAACCCTACACCCTGAACCCTGAACCCTGAACCCTGGGCCGTAGCACTGTGTGGCAGCTTCTTGTCATCCGTGTACCGAAGCTCGCAGTCTCTGTTAGCACATATTGTAGGGTGTAGGGTTCACCGGTAGCAGCAGCAGCACCAGCAGGAGTAGTGGTAGCAGTAGTCGTCGTCGTCGTCGTCGTCGTCGTCGTCGTCGTGTGGTAGTCGTCGTCGTCGTCGTCGTCGTAGTAGTAGTAGTAGTAGTAGTAGTAGTAGAATTACATAGTTCTGGTCATGATGACGACAGCCGTCATAGTAGCATTAGGAGGTGGTCCCGTGACTATGCCGACGCCCAACAGCTTTTTTCCATAAACCCCTAATGCCCCAAACGCAGGCCCTTAAACCCTAAACCCCTAAAGCCCAAGCAACCTCAAAGGTCCAAGCCCCTATACCCCTAAACAATCTTAACGGTTTAGGGTTTAGGGTTTAGGGAAAACTATAAAACTGGAAACTCCTAAAGACCAGGTGACTGTGCCGATGCGCAAAGACCTGCACTGGCCGAGTTGGTGCGGGGCTTCGTTCGGCGGCTCTGCTTGAAGGCTCCTCGGCTGATATGAGAGTTAGGTTTTTTCGGTTTAGAGAAACGATGGCATTGATAATGCTGATACATGCGATCGTCATTCGTACTGTTGTCACCATCGCGGCACCCTAAAGCCTAAACCCTAGGCCCTAAACCCTAAACCCCAAACACTCAAACAGAGCAGGCAGAAGAAGAGATGTGCGGTGCCGAGGCCTCGGTCGCTGCAGCGCAGCCGCCCCTTCTGGCCTTCGAGCAGCAAGCTTCGGGGTTTTGTAGCCACGGTTTAGGGTTTAGGGTTTTGTGGGTCCCAAGTACTTCCTGTTATAGGACTTTGCTGTCTGGTGCTTAGTGGGGAATGGGGGAATGGATGATAGGGACTACTATAAGGGACCTGAAGGGACCATCATAGGGATCCATTCCTTCATTCCCTACTAAGCACCAGACAGTTTTGGTCCATGTCGGGTACCAAAAGCCATAAACCAGGGCTGCTTGGACTGGGAAGAAGCAAAGACATGAAGCGGCTTGAGGCCACCATGGACAGGGGCGACGGCCTGATTGTGAGGTTACCGTTGTTCAGGTGCAAAGGCAGCAACTTGATGGCTTAAGTGAAGGGTTGAGAACAAATCCGAACATCCCAAAGAAGGAGGCGGTACCGAATCCAGATTCCGTGCCGCATTACGGATCGCATTGTTGCCCCGGACTGTTTGCCGGCAGCGCCACTGGCGGGTGACGTTGGCCACGTGGAGGTGGCCAGTGTTTGGGTAAACTGGTCGGAGCCCGCAAGGGCGTACTGGGAGGACCCCACGGATGAGGCCGCGAGGAGGCTTGCCAGTGAGAAATTGATGGACCGGTGACGGAGGATTCAGTTGTGGTGATAGTGAAAGTGGATACGCATGAGATCCGGAATCCTGAGGAGGGAAAGGGCAAGGCGGATGAGGGAGGTCATGTAGGATCGTATTCCCCGCGTTCTGGGGGTTAGGGTGTTGCTGCTGAGGGGTTCGGGGTTGGTTTTGGAGTTTAGGAGAGGGTTTTTAGGCTCAGGGTTTGGGGTGTTGGGGTGTGGATGTAGGACCCTCAGCAATCTGCAGTGTTCAACTTCATAGAGCCTTGCAGAATTAACATCAACTTTAAGCCTCTCATCTTCCGTCTGGTGCTATCATAGGGATCCATTCCCCCATTCCTTACTAAGCACCAGACAGTCACCCTAAACCCTAAACCCTAAACCCTAAACCCTAAACCCTAAACCCTAAACCCTAAACCCTAAACCGAGTTTTCTTCAATCTCAACTAGTTCCGGCTTTGGAGCTCGAGGCGTCCATCGGCCCCAGGTTTCAGGGCCAGGGTTTGGCCCGCCGGGGTTTAGGGTTTGGGGTTTAGGGTTTCAGGTTTGGGGTTTAGGGTTTAGGGTTTAGGGTTTGGGGTTTAGGGTTTAGGGTTTAAGGTTTAGGCTTTGGGGTTGAGGGTATCAAGGGATTTCAGCGGAACCTTGAACCGCGGTGCAGCTTGTACAAGCTTGGTGTCGGGTAAGCTAGGTGTTCGAATTTAATGTCACAGTCAAGCAATGGCTTGGTGTATGAGTGTACTCCAAAAGACAGACCCGAATGAGCGCAGCTACTTAGACATGTCAGCACAGATTCCGCTGGACATCCACAAAACGAATGCCTCGCGATGACCAGCTGCATCTGGAATCTGTGTGCTAAGATGATGGTGTTTGCCTGTGACATGTTTCCGTATGTAGTTTGTGCCAGACTTGTGTCAACAAAAGTTCACTACTAGGTGGGAAAATACAAAACATTTTGTATTTTCTGAAAGTTATGGGATTCTTTGGGCGGGTGAGTGTTTTCCCATCTTTAAAACCGCGCTGCTAGCCTAGTCTCATCGTAAACCCTAAACCCTAAACC